CTGAGCTAGAAGTGTTTTTTTATGCATTTCTTACCTCTGAGTTCTTAAGACAAAGTCTCTTTTATGCTAATCAATAGGGTAATGGAAGCAGAAATGGATGTTAATTTCATATTTTATAGTTAATACAGTGAATGCAATACAACTCACGTTCCATTCGATTTTTGCAGCCAGTAGTGGCTGCTAACTACAGCAATCTGTAAAACAATGTCTTTGAAAAGTTCCTACTAATTTTTCCAGTTTCCATTCCTATCTGGAAGAGAATATTTTATGCTAAACCAGAACGAGTACATTCATAATAGTAAGTCACTTCTTATATAAAACTATGAAAAGGAGCATTCAAAATATGGATTTATTTTTACATAAGTTTAAATACAAAGACAAGTTCTTTGTCTTTCTGTAGTATCTCCACTAAAACTCTAGTCACTGATCCAAACTTTTCTAAACAGCTACAGAAAATTGTGCAGTCCACCCTTTTTCAAGAAAAAAAGCCAAATAAATGTTTCAGTCTATTTGACAGGTTCCTCATAATGGAGCACCTCATTTTCCCCTAATTAGTTAGACACTTCCATGCTAGAACTGCTCACCTTTGGTCAAGAGTATGAGATGTAGCACCTTAGAAACCTCAAGCCTGACTCCTTGTCTGCTACGTGATTAGAAGTGCAGTTGTGAAAACCAAAGCTCAAGGCAATCCTATTACAGAGGACATGTACACCTAATGAGGGGGCATCAAGACCAAGTCACATGCAGAAAACCAGTTGTATGGGTAATTAAACGTGCATACTCATCAGAAATATCAAATACTGCCTTTCACTTTAGTCAGAATTGCTTACGCAGAGGACTACTTCATTAGACAGTGAATTGTTTTCAGTTAAATGAAAAGTGACAGGGACTTACTGAAGAATGAGATACCAAAAAAATTCATCAGCTCTCTAATTCACCCCTTGCCCACTTGAAAGAATTATAGCTTTTCCATATTTCCATAAGGAAATCGGGGGGGGAAAGAGACAAGTAATGAATGACCTATGAGTCAACAGACCTGATTCAGTCCTCAGCCATCATCTAGTCTAGAAGCATCTAAAGCTGCAAGTCTTTTAAGTTACTGACTGTGTGAAATGCGTACTATCACTGAACTTTACAAAACACATTACTGGCAAACAGACAAGATGTTATCTCACTTTTTATAGTATTATATACACGTACATCCACTGCCACATACACATTTTTAAGTGTTGGGCACAGTCACCACTGTTTGGTTTACCTTTATTACAGTTAACTGAGGAAACTCAGAATCCACTAAAAATTTTTGTTTCTAATTAGAGTATGAACTCAATTATTCTCCCTAAGAGTGGTAACATTTATTTTCAAACAAGGAAGTCTCTTCTCATAGGCTTGAACACGTACTAGCCCATTAAATTTTGGGCAGTAAATGAGCAACTTTTTGAAGGAAACCGTACCAGTGACTAAAATAATCAAGGTATACATTAAAATAGTAAAACAGAAGAGAATAAGACAGAGAAGATATTACTACAATTCTTATATTTAGGCCAACTGATCTTCTAAGAGTATCTTTTATGCTTTCATTTTCTTTGATCTGCCAACACCAGCTTCTTGTTTGTTCTTCCAGTTTAATGTGTTCAGTGCTAGCTGAAGAGCTTTTAGTTATGACCCTCATTTATGAACGTTACCCTTGAAAGCATGGCTCCCAGACTATCATAATCATTTTGATTCCATGCTAACAATGCTTCTTAAATGAAAAAAAAAAAAAAAAAAAAAAAAAAAAAACAAACCCAACCAAAACCTGAAATAACCCCAAACCCACACACATTGTGCCTCACGGCTCATCTGGTTGAATGGTATGACAGGCTCTTTTTCAAATACTACTGTACAAAATTCTCATCTGTATGAATTAGTTAATATTATTTCACTTACAGATGAAAAATAATTAAAAGAGATGCCTCCAAAATAACTTAATTTACTGTAATTTACTAAGTCCTCATTTAAATATGGTAACATTTGCTTTGTGGGCATGAATTTTGGCACTGCTGGCCCGCCTGTAACATGGGGCTTTTGGCTTGGGCAAGCCTATGAACAGACAATGACCTGGGAAGACAGAGCACAATGGCCTTCAGTAGCAACACCAAAGCCATAGGTTACCCAGCTTCCTGTGAGAGAAAAAATTAAAACAGACAGGCAAGCACATCCATATCAACACCCTGATGCTCGTAAATGTGAGCTCTTCATACCTGAATCATCAATCTTCATGATTTCTTATCAAATCTGTACTGTTAGAAAAAAAGCTAAATCCCACACAGATCTTTTCCGTTCACATTCAAGATAAGCTAACAAAGCGGAGAATTTTTAGCACGTTTTTACCATAACTAGGGAGGGAAAAGAACAGATCAGAATTAACCAGAGGTGCATAGACAAAAAAAAGAGTAATAGCTACCACTGGAAAGATCAGAACAACCAGGACTACAGAACCATGGCAGTTCAACACTGCTGGCAGCACCAAGCTGCTCTCACTGCCCCACCTTAGAAGGGCAGAGAAAGAAAACAAAAGGTACAAAAAACAAACTCAAGTGGTAAAGGGCAGGGAGCTCGCTCACCAACTACCACCGCAGGAAAAACAGGCTGAGCGTAAAGAAGGTGAGGTTACCACCTATTGCTAACAGTCTAGAGCCAGGAGAACTAAACGGGTAATCTTCCTCACGCCCGCCCTCTCCTACCTCCTCATGCAGCACGGCGCAGCCCTCCAGGACCACACTGCTCCACACGGATCCTCACGTGCGGCAGTTCCCCCAGCGGCCCTTTCCCTCGGGACTGCTCCTGCGGGGCTCTCTGTGGATGCACTCCCTCTGGGCCCCACCGGCTGCTGCACCGCGGGCTCCTTCGCATCCGCACATGGCGACTGTGGGACTCCCCGCGCCTCCGCTGGCCGCAGGGACTGTTGCTTCGCGCCCCGTGCACCCCCAGCCCTCCTCCTACGCTGCCCGCGTGCCCGCAGGGCCGCTTCTCTTCCAGCTGCTGTGAAGCAACGCTTTGCTCTTCCTTCCGTCTGCTCCCCCAGAGCGCACGCGGTCTCGATCACGGCTCAGCTCTAGCGGGCGCGAGCCCCCTTGGAGCAGCACGAGCCGGCTCTGCTCTGGGCTGCACTGGAATGTGCTCACAGAGGCCAACTTGCAGCCCCAAAGCTTCGCCCTGAAAGGCCAGTGCAAGGACATAGAAGGTATGAAGACAGAAAATAGAGTTCACTTGATTAATTCTGTAACATGATAATAGTAAATGGCATTTCTCAAAGTTTGATGCTCCTTATGTGTTTTGCATTTGCCTTTACAGGGAAAACAGTGAGTCCATTCAAATATTTTAAGTTCTCTCTCATGCAGATAGGGTTTGGATCTATGAATGTTAAACACTGTTCCTACTGATCAGCTTCTCCTCCCCAACTCAGCCACTCATTTCTATTACCTATATTAAAAACAAAAGCACAGCACTCTGCAAAAGAACAATTTTTCTACATAGCCCACAGTGTCAACAGGAAGTAAAAGATAACAGGTTGCAATGATTAAGAAATGCATTTGCATTTACATAAATATTTATATGGACCCTTGCAGATCTTGCTTGCTATCAAGTACAACAGGCCACTGGCAATAATTAAAAATCAATAAAACCTAACCCCTACAAAAAAAAAAAAAAAAAAAAAAAAAAAAAAAAAAAAAAGAAAAAAGAAAAAGCCTTTTAAAAAATTATGTGGGTAATGATAATTTTATAGAGCTGTCTCCTAAAACACTTAATTGCATAACTGCCCATGATTTTAGTGTTGAAAAAATGAAGAGCTAAAAGCAGAGTTGATAAGTTGGTTTAAGAATACTCAGTGAAACACTGTAAAATGTTTAGTCACAGTGTTTTTCCTTGTCTTCCTGTAGTACTACTTGTGAAAAGGGAAGATTACTACAACCATTTTCGTAACTCACATGTAGACGTGAAAAGAGGAAAAAGGAAAAGAGACAGACTTAAATGAAAAACAAATTGCCAAGAACAGTTCTCTCAGCACAGTTTTGTACCAGCACTGATTGTTACAGACCCCTCCAAATACCACAGGGCTTACTCTATGATCTTGCCCAGACATTGCCCCAAGCTATGATGTCCTGAAGCTATGAACACCACCAGATATAGTCACACATCACCACTCATTGTGAGGCTGCCTGTCTCCCTCCAACAGACCTTCCTCAGTGGCTGCTGACAACTGAAGCCAAGCTGGAAACCAACGAAAAAGATGTAAATCCTCAGTAATCTCTAGTCATCTCTAGATGATAAGCACTGCAGCTGGCATGTCTTTACTATTATATCCTACTCTGCAACATACATACTTAAAATATATTTAGAGAATATGAGTCTTCATTCACATAGTAATTTTGCATTTTGTTGTTTTGCAGGACAACTGTTGAAAGCCAGTGACAGAAAGAGAACCCAAAACAATGAAGACATCATTAAAATGACTGTTAATAACAATTTTTAATGCTATTTTCAATCCTTGACTGTAAAAAAATCATGCAATAATCTTAGAAATGCTTAGCATTTATCACTTTAGTACCCTGTTTTAGCCTTACACAATACCGGCACTTGTTTTGGTTGTAATGTAATATTTTTTTTTTCCTCAGGTTTCCTGTTACTAAAATACAGTAAAACTCCAGGTATATTAATGCTTCTTCTTTCACTTCTAATTGACTGTAATAACTTAAAAATCTTTTCATAAATGCAATCACGACATTCAATGAAAGACTAAACAAAACAGAAACCTTTACTCAGTCTTAATAATTTATCTTTCATAGAAGGAAAATAGATTTAAAAACTATCAGATGCACTGAGATGTAACTATTGCATACTATTTCAGAATCAGCCATAGTTGGCAGTTGTATTGCATTTCTAGAACACATTTACATTAAACAGCACCAAGACTTTTATTACAAAAACAAAGTTAAACAGTTGACAAAAAAACTTACTGTTACTTGGTTGCTGTAGAATCTATGCTCTCAATGAAAGCTTGAAGTTAGTGTTCGAAGTTATTGCCTGTTAAGAAGTAGAAACAACATAAATGTTAACAAAATGTAGAATAAGTTTTGAACTGCAACAGCTAATAAGGATCTTCTCATATAACAAATAATAAATATACCCACAATAATATCTAAGGTTTGATTTCTCGCCCATGAATTCAGAATCAAAATACAGGGCAAGAACAAATTATATCTTATTAGAGATGCTGTCACAGAATGAGTTAAGAAATGCCATCTTAGGACCACAGGATAAAAAAATGGGGATGCAGACCAATAAAAACCTAAAACGAAAAACAATCTAAAATCCCGAAAATGAAAACCAAGCCCTAACTCACTCCAGTACTCCAGCAACGGACACAAGTTTTAATAGAGATACACTCTCATTACTAGCAATTCTAATAAAACAAAAATTTGGATCAGATAGAGATATATGCTGAGCATATATATTTCTTTTTAAACATTGAAACCAAGTTGATGGGAGTACATTATCAGTTACTGCATTATCTTTGATCAGATAAAGATTTGACCCTACTGCCAATACTGATTTTTTCATTTTCAAACATAATACAAACAGCACAAAACCTCACTGATGGCAAGGTATTCTGATTTTGACATGAAAAGTGGAAGAAAGGCAAACCCAAACAAAAAACATTTCATATTGTGTCCTTATCTTACAGGAAATCCTACTTGTATTTCCCCTTCCTTACAGAGAAATATCAGCTTCTATTAACTGAAACAGTAAACATGGATTTTATTAACATTAATTAAGTCAGGCCTTCAATGTTCATGAAAGTAGTTAAGCCCACATCTAAATACTTCTTCCTTTCCAATTCTTAATTGTTAAGTATTTTGACTGTAAATATATTTCCCGTCCCCCTCCCCTTCCCCACTACAGAAAAAAATGGTAGCCATCACAAATGTTGGTTGGCAAGCTGAGCATATCTATGATCAAGCTATATTGAAGAGAAAATACTTTATATACTTCATTGTCTGAACTATATTCCATAACTTTAATTGATTTTTCTGTATAAAGAATAAAGATTGTAATCAGTTTGCTTTGTTCCTAGATAAAAGTCAAAGTACAATATAACAAGAAAAAGCATTTGAGATGTCTGTGCGATGTTTAAATTCAGGGCTGGAATTGGCTTATGGAGGTTGCTCCAGAAGTAATGACTCCTATTTATTGCCACTGAAACTACAAAGAATACAATAAACTTTTTGACAGAGCAAATTCGCAGCTATAAAACACTGTATTTCAACATAGTCACCATCATTAGCTGAGCATTTTCTCCAGCAATGAACAAGAGCCTGCATACTGTGTGCATCTTAACTTGCACCAGCAAAGGTGATCCACATCACTAGTGCTGGAATGCACCACCTGCCGCTTCCCCATGCTCACATCCACTGTTCAGGCTCCATGAACATTCCACAAGTGGAAATAAATGTCAGTGGGTTCCATTTTTTGCCCACATGGAAGAATTCAGTGACACACTTCTGCTTCACATGCACTTCAATGTCAGATGTCATTCTGTCAGACTGCCCTTCTGCTGCCATCTGTCACTGCAACAACATCTAATGGAACATTGGCAGGAAGGTGTGACCTCTACTGTCATATCAATACCTACCTTTGATGTTGAGGGCCATCATTATAAAATAAAAGGCATTACTTCTGGAGCAGCCCTTTCATATATCAAACCTGAGTTTACAGTGCGCACATCTTATACTGCAACAGATCTGTGTATTTTCTCTATAACTCATTAGCAACCATATGAATTAAAACATAATGGTAAAGTTCACACACAATTGCTTTTGATCTCTGACAAGTCAAATTAAGTTAGCCAGAAAGAAACAAACACAGAAACTCAAATCACAACTACTTGTTTTCAATTTCCACAATCCACACCATACCAAATAATTGCTTTTCACAATTAATCACAATTGTGCAACAAGAATAGGGAAAAATTGAAGGAAGGTCTGTTGAATTTGAAGGAAAATGTTGGAGATCAGGTGACCAAAGCAGTTAACCATCACTATACCTAATTATTAGGGAGCTAAATTTATTCTTTTTGAACATCTGCATCACAATGTTTTTCATACACAGAGTTATTTAAAATGGAAAGTGCAGCTTAATACCATCAACTGGTGGAAATGGCACAATTAGCTCTTATTTACTGGCACACAAAGCAAAGCTGATCACACTATCCTACACATTTGTACAAAAAAAAAAAAAAAAAAAGCAAACACAAAGAAACAACAAGAAAAATCCAACCTTGATGCAGTGTCTATTGTCACTGAAATGGTCTATTTCAGGGACAGAAACTAACAGAAGGAAAGAACTTGAAAACCTGAACTCATCCACGAGATCTGGACAGACTAATATGGGAAACTGCCTCAGATCTCTTACCTGGCTCTTGACCAAGAAGGAAAACAGGACAGCTGCAGATGAAAGAGGGATCTTCAGCCTGAGTATATCAAGAATACTTCCTGACCTCTTACATTTTATGAGCTTTTCCAACTAGCTGTGGTATCTTATAATAAATGTCATTTTATCTTAACATGATTTAATTTCCCCTCATAATCACATTAATAACGAGGGCAGCATCCAGGGCAGCAGCAAATCTGCAGACTGTGTCAAGTAAGCACTCTAAGAATTGTTCTACCTATCAAGCACACCTTCAGCTTGGCTCAAACACAGCAGTGCTGCACGCATCCATTCCAGCTTCATGTGCCAGACAGAGAGCTGGCAGCAGATAAATCATAGCAATAGCAAGTGACTGCCAGCAACTTGTTGCTAGGAAGGGCTGACAGGGCTTAAGGTGCACACATCAGCTAACCACAGAATAATCAACTCCATTCCTTATGCTCACTGCTAGCAGGAGCTTACAGGAGGTATCTTACTGATGTGACAGTCAAAAACTATCAAGATTTTTACCAGTTCGTGAAGTGGTGGGTATAAAAATGTATGAAATCTTGCAGAATGAACATGAACATGTTCAAGTCAATTCTAAGTTAGGAATCAATAGTTCATAGAGTCACTTAAACTTCTGAGTTACTTAACAGATTTAGGAAAGCCACTTCGTAACAACCGTGAGAACACATTTAAGAACAAAGGCAGACAAAAAAAAATGACATATTGAGGAACTATTTAAGGATGACCAAGAACCAAAACAAAGTAAAAACAAAAAGCCACAGTGAGTCAATAAAAGTTTTACAGAAGTCAATTGTAATGGAGCAAATCACAAAGAAGTTTTACTACCCACAAGCAATTTAACACATCTGCATAAGCAAAGGTAATAGCCCACTGAAAAGAAAACTTCACCCTGCTTTTGGCTCAATACAGATCCTCAGCTTCATTCGTATTTTAGAGCTACTCATTTAGTTCTGAAGCAAAGAGGAACTACTCCCTTGGTTTGAAAAAGAAAAAAGGGAAATAGAACTTTTGATAAATTCTTCAAGTAAAATAGCTAATACCTTGTCTACAAACCTATGAAGCTGAACTTAAGACAACAGTTCTGAAAACAACTAATTGCTCTTTTGAGTAAGACAATGGAAATAACAGAGTACCTCATTCAGTTTTAATTCACAAAAGCTGGGACACAGGGACAGATAGCAACTAAAGGGACTGGGCAAAGATCTGTTGAACATTTTCAGTTATGCATGTATCAGTGTGGAGAAAAAACAGAAACAAGGAAACCAAAAACACAACTTTTGAAGCCAAATATCTAGAAGAGGGCCTGGACTGTAAGAACATGCTTTGTACAACACAGAGCACTACAGAGAAATGCCTGTCCTGAAGGTTACAGGCTCCCAAGTCACACTAGCATAGAGATCTCAACACAAAGCTGCACCTAAGAAAACCTATGCTTCAGAGGCAAAGCTTATATTACTGCATACCCATTACATTGGGAAGACAGATATACTGTCTTTGCATAATATAATCATGCTGCATTATGCTGCAGTAGATAATCGAAGATCAAGTAGTCAGGCACCAACTCAGATATCCACACCACCCTCCACTGAGTGGTGCCAACATAACCTTACCCTGTCTTGGGTTGGGATCTTTTGGTTGGTTTGGGAGGTGTGCTTTTTTGGTTTTTGTTGTTTCTTTTAAAAAACTTGATACATTAGTATCCCAGATTCCACTGCACCAATGAACACAGCATTAATAGCAGCACATACCTTCCCCCATACACACCTTTTTATCTCTTTCTTAAGTTGCCACTGCTTTGAAGAATATGACCTACAGTTGGGATCAGACCCATTTTTTTCCACAACTTCACATTTCCATCAGTATTTTTTCCCCAGTGGGAAAGAGTTCTTAGAAAATATAAAGATTTTAGGGATAGTAAATGAAAAGAACTTGTTTGGTCCTAAAGTAGGCAGCCATTAAAGTGCAATCAACATGCTTAAAAAAGAAAAAAGAACACTAATCTAAAAAAGCTTTAAAATACCAATGATTAAATAAATAATATTTTTGAAAAAAAGAATTCTTACTAGGGAACGATAGCATGTCATTTAAAATAAGATTACAAGCAGCAGCATTACAGTTAGCAATAATTAGCAGGAAATGGGCGTGAGAAGAAACAAGATCACCTTTTAAGAGCATCAAAAAAGAATATACAAAGACATTTCTCTTTCACTTCTCATGCACCTGACATTTCCTATGCCTTTGGAAAGTTTATTTAAAAAAAGAAACAGAGCAAGCTTTCATATACTGAAGGAGTAATTGGAGTGATCCTACTTTCTGTGACTGCCAGTTGTTTTTAGTAACTTCTAAAATCACAGATTAAATATCAGTTCACAGTTAGGTCTAAGTTTCCTCACTGAAGTTGCCTTTTAAAAAAATCCTATTTGCAGTTAGCTTTCCAAGTTACATTTTCCCATGCATTTCCCATATTTCAATTTCCCTCCCAAGAGAGAAATATTGGTTGGTCAAGTGGTTTTTGCCAAATGGAAGCAGCACTTTACTCTGCAGCTTCTACACAGGCATCTGCAGCTCATGCCCATATGGTGAGGGGGACAAGCAAGTCACAGAAGGAAATATTTGTTTTAGCAAGTACAACAGATTTGCTTGTAATTAAGAAAAAAAAAAAAAGACCTCTATAAGGGAGCTGAGAGTACTGGTAAGTACTTAGTTCTTACCTTAACAAAGTCCACTTGAGGGATACATGAAGAAAACAGAATGAAATAGATGAATGAGACAAGATATGGGAAAACAGGACTAGAAAAGAACTGATGAAGAGAGAACTAAAAGGAAAGTTGGAAACAAAATCAAATGGTTCAAGGAAGAAAACATCAGAAATGTACAAAAACTTAAGGAAAAAAAAACACAAAACATGGGAGAATAAGTTCAGTAGCCAAATAGACAAGGGCTTAGATTAGCATTTGGCTAGAAAAGACAACAGTAACAAGTAGCTGTGTAATGCAGTAGAAGAATAAAAGAGTATACCATGAGTAGTACCTGAAGAAACTATCATTTGCAGCAAGATCCCTTATGTACCCCTTGACTGCTTTGGTTGAGAGTACATCACACTGGGAGAAGAGAACTCTGTGCCTCAGAGTCCCCATAACGTGGGAAGGTCTCCTGAAGCTTTTTTCATTTGTAGCTACTTCACTAAGTAGGAATATTGCACAGAGTAGCTCCGCTCAAGTTACAGGAGCACAGCCTTCAGCTTCTGTCACTGACACAGCAGCATATCTGCCTCTAGTAGCTCATATTAGTCATTATTTAGCTCTTCCTAACAGCTTACTAGGACTGATTAGCAAAAAGTTGCTATAATATGGAATAAATTATTGTAGCAGCATTTAATTCTATCTTCCCCATTCCCGACTCCCCTTCATTGCCATGCCCAGTATTTTGTTTCAAGTTACTCACTATAATAATATTTTCTCATGGAAAGTTTACAACTGCTTTCAAGCAGGCAGCCATATCCCCTAAGCCTTCACCAGCAGGTCCAGTTACACCCTCAGCCTTCCCAGCTGAGCTCAATCAATCCCAACAGGTATCACCTGCTTGCTCTCATTCTCACTTTTCTTTCCTTCACTCCTCTATTCCTGCTCATTTCATCAAATTTTTCTCTTCATATGTTGTATAGCAGATTAGAGCCCCAGTCTTCACTGGAGTGCAATCGCACCAGAATTATAATAATAAATGTTATGTGCTATCTCATTTCTGCAGTTATTTAACATAATTATTACCAGAGCAATACCATTATATGTCTATCTCCAGATGTTTTTTTCTGAGAAAATTAGAACAATAATGTGAAGCACAGCTTACCATTAAACAAAGTGAAAATATATTGTCAGGAAAAAATTACAATAACAACAGGGACAGTTACAGCATAGCTTGTCACATACACTAAAAAGATTATCCCTTTTACTTCAGATGTAGGAAAGCTGTGATTGCAGACAATTATTGGAATTATAAACAAAGTAGAAGAACCTTGATGTAAAAAAAATAATTTGTTCAGCAACCTGAACAGCTACACATGACAGAAGGTTTGATTACATATACCTGTACACATGTAATGCTTCAAAGAAAAAACATTTGTTCATGTAAATCTACTACACTCTCATAAATTAAAGGAGGTAACTGACTTTTGTTAATATTTCCCCAAGACAAAAATGCAACATTAGAATCCTATTAAGTTTTAAATACACTTTATAAATGCTAGGAAAAGAAATGGAAAAGAAAGAATGCTGAAGCTTTTCTTCCCAGCTCCTCACATACGCAGTTATATCCAGGTTTTGTTTTGTTTTTTAAGTACCCAGAAAAACTGACTTCCTACTTTTTCCCTCACTGTGAGCTCCAAAATAAAATGAAAATTTCCTATAAATTGCTTGGGCTCAGAATCTATTTAAACTTTAATCTAGTTGCCCCATTGATTAAACACACTATGTAAAGATTTGGGCGTTTTTGTCTTTGTAGGTGAAGAGGGCAGATATGCATAAAACACATACCAAAAGAATTTAAACTAAACACAGAAATATTTTTAATTACAAAAAGAATGAGGAAAACATAACTCTCAATATCTGTGGATACAGAATGTTTACATCTACAACATGACTGACACAATAGAGTTGGCCACTGGTAGAGCCCTTCCTTCATTTTATGACCAGCTTTTTAACATGTACACACTGACACTGATATACTACTAGACATAGCAATTTCAAATTGATTATCATACACCCTACACTTATTTCTTTGACCACATTTACTTGCTTAACTACATTATGCATTTCCCAGTAAATTAATCTTACCCAACTTGATAATACTACACTACATTAAAAAAACTCAACTTGCATTGTTTTTCAAAGCCAATTTCATTTTTAAAAATTCCTCAGTCCATACTTTTCAAAGTAGCTTTTGCAAGCATTTTTTAAGTCGGTTCAGTAAGTTTCCACTTATGATTGAATAGGTTTCAATATGCAATCTTTTTTACTCTGACCTTCAGTAATGAAGAAGGATCAGTTCAGTAGCATTTATTCTGTTGCAGATCTGGAGTGTTTCCTACGATTTTTCCAGTTTCTATTTTCTAATCCAAAAGGCTTATTTCTGAGGCTCTAAATTTGTACAAACTGAAAGTATTTACCTTTGAAATATAAACACCTCTAGCAAAACAGTTAAGATGTTTACATACAGTTCAATACATCTATGAAAAATAAGACATTTAATATTGTTAATGGCTTAATGATTATTGATCACAAGTAACATAACTACCTATCTATCAGGAAAACTTCTCATTACAGTGAATCTCAATGCCAAAAACAGAAGCCTGCAGACCAACTATTGCCTTCCACTAAACTGGTGATACAGAGATTTCTGAGACTGAGAGTTGGCATAGTTATCTACTATATTAATAGCCTCTGTGCATTTGTATTTGGATCCAAAATGAAATAATACTACTTACTGAGGGCTCTGCTAACATAGAAAATGAAGAATCAGTTTCAGAGATGTGCTGTTACCATACAGAAATTATTCTGATTGTACTCTTTTACACTTTTTTCCTCCCAAATTAACGTAAAAACCAATTTTGCATTTAAGAAATTGTAAGTTGTTTTTGCATTAAAGAGACTGAAAAAAAAAAAAAAGAGAAAATTGTAAACCATAAACATGTGATAAATACAAGAACAATTTGTGAAGTGAATTTAGAAAATTTTGAGATAATGTATGATTTTAGTAAACAAAATGATGTTAGTAAACTAGTAATATCTGAACTTCAGGAATGTACGCTCCAATTTTCACCCTTCTAAAATGATTTGAAATAATACCATATGCTTTGGAGAGATGTTACAGGTGGAAAAATTATAGTGGTGAAAATGGGAAAAGAAACAAACAAGGAAGAAATGCTCACCTGTATCCAAAGATCTAAGTTTGCAGGAAAAACTCCCAAGATGAAGAATCTCCAGAAAAAAAAAAAACTACCCCTGGTAGTCAGCCCTTAAATGGGGGGGGGGGGGGTGGTCTAGGAGAAGTGTGGCCAAGGTCCACCCCTTCCAGCCACACAGCTGAATTGCCTTCACCTGTGCTCTTATGGCTGGCTCCGTGCTTACCTCAGGTGACCAATCAGTGGTTCACGCTGTGACTCAACAGTTCCCATATACTACCCATATGCAAATTGAAATTGCCTTGACAGTTATTTATGCTTTTCTGCAAAATTTTTTTGAAACTCAGATGAATAATTTTTTATCTAAAACTAAGAATTATTGCTCTCACCATTTTTTTTTTTTTTTTTTAATTCTCCTTCTGTAATTTTTACTGAAATATAAACAAATATTTGGAGAAAACATTGAATTAATATTGCCACTATCTTCTACTAGGAAAAATATGATTACATATAACAATTTATAAATATTACCATGGTCTCTTTTCTTTGGTGTAAGTTGTTTGAAGTAATATTTGCTGAACATTCTCTTGTACAAATTCCTCCTCTAATCCAGATGGCACTATTTTACTTTATGCTCATCACCTTTTGAATTAAGCATCTTTGTTCAAGGCACTCTATTTATCATTTCCAGAAGGTATGAAAAGCTAGATTAAATGCATTCTACCTCTTCATTTTTAAATGGCTTAATTAACTAACTTGAAAGGAACTTTTATGTTCAAAGACTCTGAAAGTTTGTAAGAAGCCTTTCTAGTGAACATCAGCTTCTTAAAAACAGAGGTCAAGTCTGAAGAGCCATTCAATTTATCTATCTAGTCCTGGACTCAGACACAACACTTCAACTACCTACAACAACACCAAGTAGGTCATCAGGTACTTGGCCCAGTACTGTTGTCAAAGAACAAAAAGGATTCTGATAAGCTGGGGAAAAAAAAAAAAAAAAAAAAGCTGCTTTACTCATCATCTGAACAGAAATGCACATGCTCAGATACATTGTGTAGCAGCTTTGATGGGAAGATATAGCAGCAATAGATTGATTCATCCAGAGGAAGATTGAGTAAGAAGACTAGGTACATAGAAATCTACTCAAGAGTTGGGATTCCAGTAGCCAGCAGAATTACTCATGTGGCTTGGCATAGATTAAATGAGGTATATCACAAGAAGGCCACCAGAGTTTCCATCACTGTTCAGCCCAGTGTTACAGAAATAACACAAAACCAAAGTGCAGTGTAGTTTGAGTTTAAATAACTGTCCATATGTATGACATTTGGTAAGGACATCTTTTTTGTTTATAACTGGTAATGAGAACAGTCCATTTTAGTGCAAAGATCAGAGGATGACTTAAACCACAAGTAAACACATTTAAGACTTTCTGAAAATACTTATCTTTTCACCTCAGATAAGGAAGCAGTTGAGGGAAACAAGCCTCTTACCCCAAGCACATGAGCTAACAATCCATAGATGCAGTGAAAATAATCCCATTAATTTTTATGCTTATTCAATTTGGTGGTATAATTTTTAATCAAAATTTAGTACTGGGCTGGGCTACTGCAATTCAGTTCAGATAGATCTATCACTCTGAATCACATAATCACAGAATCGCAGAGGTTGGAAGGGACCTCAAGAGATCATTGAGTCCAACTCCCCTACTAATGTAGGTTCCCTACAACAGGTCACACAGGTGGAGTCCAGATGAGTCTTGAATATCTCCATAGAAGGAGACTCAACAACTCCTCTGGGTAACTGTTCCAGTGCTTCATCACCATTACTGTAAAAAATTTCTTCTGCATGTTTGTATGGAACTTCCTATGTTCAAGCTTTAGGCTATTGCTCCTTGTACTACCCCTACACAGCAGAAGAGCCTGACCTCAACCTTTTGCCTCCCAAGTCCCTTTAGATATTTGTAAACATTAATCAGATCCGCCTCAATCTTCTCCCGAGGCTGAATAGTCCCAGGTTACTCAGATTTTCCTCACATGTGAGATGCTCCAGGCCCTTTATCATCGAGGCCCTCCGCTGGAAGGATGATTTATAAAATCTACTAGTGAAACCAGTAAAAGAGAGGACAAAAAACCTTCATAATTATCATTATGAAACAAATCAAGCAAAAAACTGGTATTTAACATATGTTTATTTACTAAACTACATTTTTTAAATAAAAGAAATGTACATTCTCTGGATTCCAAGTACAGACTTTGTTCTAAATCGCTAATGATATTGCAAAAGAATAAAATAGCATCTTTTTCTCCGAGATACATGCAAACTTAAAGATTTGAAATTATTGCTAGAAATGGCTAAAAATGCAAGAATATTTTCATTATTTTTCTTATTTAACAATTACTGACTTGTATGTCCATAAATTTGTTCACTTAAGTATTTCTGGTTCTCTGACTATTTCGGGAAATTGTGATATTTCTTTACCATTTCAAAAGGTGCATGGGGTTTCACATTTGATTAGAGGCACACGCATAATTCATATGCATCTGAATATTTCCTTTTTTTTTTTTTTTTTTTTTTTTTGCAGCACTTTAAGGCATAGGGAAATGAAAAGACATAATTATGCCTGCGACCTCAGAAACTGTGTTTTTTTTTTTTTTTTCTTATGAGTGCTATCATGTGAAAGAAACAAGGAAATATATATATGAAAATGGAAGGGCAAAAGATAAAACAGAGTAACAAAACCAAAGATGGCACAGAAGAGAACAAGTTTAGGAAGCAAAAAGAAACAAAAGTGTAGGTACATAAGATATGAAATAAAAATTGAGTTAGAATGAACTGGGAGAATTCAGAATGGGTTAAATAAAGAAAAAATGAAAATAAAATACAAATCAATAGAACCGGAATGGTGAGTGGCAGGAATTAGCCTAAAAGAAATTCGTAGAAATGAAAAGAGAAAATGTGTGCATTTTTGAAGTAAGATTAGAAGAAGCAAAATTAGGACAACTTGTCTGAAGCTGATCTTGGAAATAATTGCCACAAATCTTTTGGTTCTTCCACCCCTAACTTTCAGTTATTCTCCTTTGACAGTTTTCCACAAATTGAACAGACTATACAGTATTTCAAAAGCCAATAAAGTACTATATGGCCAGAAATAAGCTATCTTAACTAGTGCAAGAAATGCTAAAGCAATTACAATAATGACTCATCATTAAAATTATTCTTCTCCACTAAAGTGGTCATAGGCTGCAAACAGCTTATGATTATCTGAAAGTAGCCGTTCTTCAAAAGAAAGGGCAAAAGTATTTCTGTTGAAGAAGTCAATTGAATGCTCATTGTGCCTTTTACCATTACCCTTCTCCTACCTCAGAAGGGTTATTTCCTCCTTTGTCACTTCATTTATATTCTATGGTATAAGGTTCATTGATTACAATCAGGAGAAAAACTTACAATGAAGTGAATTATAACTTCTATTCACAAAGGCCTCTAGACTTGCAGAAAAAGTTGCAGATAATATCCCTAAGGCTTCTAAGATACAGCATGGCAGAAAATTGCTTCATATTGCTTAATTTGGAAACATTAACATAATGGAAGACAATCAATAGGCTCTAATAATTACAGCAAAACCACACAATTCCCACAAGTAAACATGTGCTTTATGTGGTATACAAATTGCTATCCTGTAAAATGCATAATTACATTCTCTGTGAAGCTATTCATCAGAAAACACAACTATCTTGTTATACTCTTGAGGGTATTTCAAAACTTCCTTCTGTAATCCTAGTAGTCTCAGTTAAAACAAGGTCTAAGAGCAAATAATAGCAAACAGGAGCCGAGACAGTTACCTCTTCATGTATTTGAATGAAACAACCATCATGGGAATAGAATTCCTAAACTCACTTCTATCTGAAACACACAGAAGCAGAAAAACAATTTTTGAAGAAACATTTGGGCTCTACAATAGGAATTCCCACAGCAACTAGCACTGATGGCTTGCAGAGAAGTCTCCCAAGTGAAGTCAAGATGGTTCCTGCGCTGTTAAACACCAGTGAAAGAACTAGAAATACCTTTCTGGGAACAGGCTTCCAATGTCAGAGATCAGTAAGAAATGATCCATTTTTTTTTTCCTCTCAGTATAAAGTCTTTCCTTCTCTCATATTTTTCTCACAGACATTGAGGACACTCTTAGTGGTTTTACGTACTATGAACTTTTACTTTGTTATAAAAATACTGCTGGAATAGCCTAGTGACAACAGAAGAATTACTTACTGCAATATCCCTAATTTTGATGAATTGCAGTTCATCAAAAGTTACAATGGAGCTAAAAATAGAGTGCTATGTTTTATCCTAAATATGTGAGCTGAATTCAGAAGCACTTCAGTACTTATGTGTAGAAAAATGACAAGATTTGGGGTAAAAAAAAAAGAGGAGTAAGAAGAGGAATAAGAAAAGAATTAAGATTTTTGTTTAAAAAGGTATACTGCAGACATGTTTCCTCCAGGCTGGCATGAAACCCTACAAACACATAAGACTACTTACAGGTTAAAGGTTTTTTGTTGTTGTTTTTTTTTTAATTGTTTGTTTTGGTTTTTTTTTTTTTTTTTTTTTGTTTGTTTGTTTGTTTTTGCATAGCCAGAATTCAAATATAAGTGTTAGGCTTTTTCCTAGCATATAATGCTGCTAATAATGTTAATCTGTGATTTATTCAATTGTCTGCCTTATTGGCAAGAAGTCCTGTGCGGTCCTGTGAACTGTCACAGCAGAAACAGCTTTTCAGATGCTAAGTAGACTTTCTTTAAAGTACATACAAGTTAAAGTACCAATGAATATGTATTCCCTATATTAGAACTGATCAAATAGTTTTTTCTTGGTCATTTTGTTGCTACATTTTTCCACAGTTACAGGCATTTAATCTGATGAAAACTTTCCTTAAGATTTCTCAGTCTGGGCAACCTAAATGCCGTCTTGCTCTCAGAAGAAATTATCGCTCTTATTGAGACCACATAAAAGCATGTATGTATATGGGCTACCTGAATCCAAGACACTTCTTAACCCCAACATTCTCATCCTTGAAACTGTAAAATCACTTCAAAAATTTGCTTATTT